AGGCTTCTGCGGTTTAGCCCACAGCGCCACCACGTCCCTGATAATGACTCTACTAATATTATTTTTAAGCGATTAACCTAATTCTTCTGGGACTTAGAACAAATGTTTAAAACACTGTTTGATTCTTTTTTAAAAAAAAATTATATGAATTCAAACATACAAAAAAAAAGAAATAAAAAAAAGAAAATAATAAAGGGAAAAAAACTAATAGTTCCTGTATACAGAGGTACCAGAGAGAGCAGCAGTCAGAGTGACTGTGAAGCTAAGGAACTGTACAGAAGGCAGAATTCTAAATAACTATACAAGGATACCAAATAAATACTTTTAGAGGTTAATGGAGAGCAGAGACTGTCAATTATCCAAGAAAGCTGTAAATGACATAGCACAGTTTCACAAGCAGTTTTCCCCCTTCCCTTGACAATCTAAAGTCAAGGACACCAGTGAAGCTGAGTACCAACTTCTGACTTAACTCCTGCAAGTTAAAACAGGAGTTGGTACTTCTTCAAATAATAGTCACACCACAGCTCTGCTTACATGTTCAAAATTCTGGTATAAAAAAAGAGACACAGCTTTTCAAAAGCAGACGTTGCACATTCTAATGTGACAGCATGCCCAAAGAAAGCAACAGATTGGTGGAAAGAGTACCTGCTTTGCATGCAGAAAGTCCAGGATCCAATCTTCTAGCGTTGAAGGATTTAATGTGCTAATAGAGATCAGTGGGTTGGAGAGCCTGTAGAGCCAGGAGCTGGGAGTTCAAACCTGCACTGTGCCTCCTGGTAAAGGGGCTGGCTAAAATCTCCAAGAATGTGTGTGGCTGGTGGAATTATGCGCCCTGCCACCTGTATGGCCTCAGACAAGCCCAGAAGAAGAAAGACAAAATTACAGCTTTAGAAGCTTTGTTGCTACAAGATCTTTGTTTTTATTTCCTCCCGGGAGTTTACAAGTAGCAGCACGTACTTTAGAAGTGAAGATAAGAACTTCCAATCAGAGCACATTTCTTTGATCAGCAACAAAAAGCAAAGGCAAAGGAATAAAAGTTAGCCAATTCAGTGCAAATAAAAAACATTCCAGGAATGTTACATTACAAGATAAATATCATTCATTTTAAGACGGATTTGTATATAAAGGTATTTTAACTCAGAGCTCTTACAAAATGTCCAAGGCATTTCACCCTAAGCAGCAAAACCTTCTTGCTCCTCCTTTTAAAAAAATATGTATTAATTAACAAAGTGAAACTTCTGCTAATATACAGGGCAAAAGGAGAAAAGAAAGACCATCACTGACAAAACACATGTTCTGCACCAAGAAAAACGGTAAGTTCAATACTTAGTACTGGCACTTTTAAAAAAATTAAGAGGTAATACAGCACAGGGCCTTTGTATGAGACCTGGGATGGATAATTTCAGCCTGAGTTGACAAAACTCTGTTAGACGAAGCTACAGTGTGCCTTGCTGTACAGAAAATCATTATGATTAGAAGGCTCTACAGCAGGCCTCAAATATGAAACTGCACAGAATTAAAGCAATCCTGTCCTTCTACAGCCACCAATTGCACATCTCATTTTCACATACCCTGTTTCCAACACTTGAAGTGTAAGGCAAAGATCAGTATAACCGACTGGGAATAAAATACAAGCTGTTATTGAATTCAGCAGCTTTTAGGGAAGTGGCCACCATGCTTCTATAGCAAAGAGAGATGAAATTCCACATAGAACATAAAAAACAAAACAAAAAAATAATAACCTAAACAGCAAAGCCAAAGAATACAGGGGCATCACAAATAAAATAAATACATTTTAAAGAAAGAAAATAAATGGCAAGACATGCCCAGAATTGATGTAGGAATTAGAGTTAAAAAATTATTGACCCTCTATGAAATATAAGAAGCAGGTGCATTCAAGTCATGAGTTGGAAGAAAATTGCAGCTGGTGCATGGCACTTCAAAGGAACTTGCCAAGGTTGACAGAAGTAGACCACAGAAGGTTTAGGCCAGCAGAACCTTCTAGGCAGATGTGCTCATGCTTTATGCAGCTGTGGAGCACCAGGAAACAGGAATGCTGAAGTAACACCCCATCTTGTGGGGAAAATGCCAAGAATACCTTCCATGGATCTCTGGCAGGAAAAAAAATGCTCACAAGTTGCTCTTGTAGGACTTAGCACCTTCCATGATCTCACCATCTCAGGAAAGGGTGACTAGGTATCTTTCCCTACAGAATAACAGTTCTGCTTGAAGAAAAGAAAATATAAAGTTCTCAGGATTTAAAAAAAAATGCTGACATGCTGACAGACAACAAGAGGAATTCTCTATTGTTGGTCAAGTCATGAGGCGCTAAATCAAGATGGCAACTCCAGTGCCTTGACTTAGCAGAACAATGACAGCTTTTTTTTATGTTGCCGGACTGACTATCTCTCTGTTCCTACCCTATTTCTGTCTTTGCATCCCTAGAGATTCTGGGGGCGAAATTTGTATTCAGTTCAGGCCCAGAGGTTCTGCTCTGTGGGGTCTCCTCCTTTTGCAATCCTCTGTGCTCACCATGCCAGGCCTTGATTTTAATGACCTCATCAGCATAGCTGCTATTGAAGAGGTTGATGATCATCTGGCAGGCACAGACAGAAGAACCCTAGCACCCATCATCATCCCAGGAAGTCAGCAGATGATGGGGCAATGTCTGGACTGCACACCTTGGAGGGGGATCATTCTACCTGTTCTTGCTATGTAACCTACAGTATGTGGGTCTTGCTTGAGCTAGCAGCAAGGATCATGGGTCAAAATTAGGGCCAAACAAGGCCTCCACCTACAACTAGATTGTAAGTAACCTGTGGTTCCAAAATGGTTGAGATGTGAACTGCCGTCATCTTAACTGCAAGGGACAGAAGGTACTGTTCTGCTAATCAGTCCGTGGCAGTAAGCAGGGCATGTTGTATTTATTGCAGGCTTGGCCAATACAGAGACCTCATATGATCCGCAAATGGGAGAGACCCATGTTACTTCCTTCTTGCCTTGAGAAGAGTCAAACCTGAGCACAAACACTATGGTGAATTTCCAACCTCAGAACAAGAGATTCCAGATTTGAGTATCTGACAGATGTTTTGAGAAGGATGGAGGTAAGGAAGAGACATGAACATCAGATGACATTCCTCAAACCAATTCAGAGTTCAGATCTTCAGCTAATATCAATACAAGATGTGTTACTGAAGCCTTGAGAGCCACCATCCGGGAAAGCCCTTTTGTACAATGATTAATCAACCCTTCGGCAGCCTGTGAAGAAAAGGTCTTTAAACGCTCAAATCTGTTGCTTCATCACAAGGTATTCCACTTCTTACACACTTACACACATTTACTGTAAATTATTTTTTCAGGTGGGCAGCTGTAAGCAGAGCAGCTTCACACACATGAAGGGGGGAGTGGAAAGAGTCACCAAATGTATGAAATTTTATAAGTAAAGTGCTAAAGCTTCCCTTCTAAACTGTCTCCATCAGCAATCCTCTTAAAGCAAGATTTTATTTTGTTGCTTCTGCTCACAGTTCCTCCTGAGGAAACCAGTAGAGAATAAGGGGAAAAATAGTGAGATATTGCTTAGTATTACTGGTGCTTCACTAGCCTTTGATACAGACCTATAATTGACAAAAACATACATTCTTTCTTTGCCATCCAGGTAAAAACCATACCATACAAGAACGAGGAGAAAAGGGACAGATTTCCAAAGCTTGAGATTTCCAGTACTTGAGGCGATTCAGAAAATAAAATATAATAAGGACTTTATGTCACAGCAGCATCAGGGCTGGTGTTACCATTAGGCAAAGTGGGTCTCAGGCAGCAAGAAAATAGGAAGTAAGGGGAGGTGGCAAGATGTTGGAGGATAGAGTGCCACCTGGCTGGCTATGTGCGCTTGTCCCCTCAAGTCAGCCAGTGGATGCAGTAGATGGTTTTGTCCAGTTATCAGTGATTAACTCAGATTCAAGTGCCAGTCTGAGTGATCAGCTTCCATATATGAAATGGCAGTGGGACTCCATTTTGTCCTTTGCCTCAGGCAGCAAAACACCTTGACTTGCTTCTGAGTGACATCCAGGAAATATCACACTACACACTAGATCCAAAAGAGAGCAAGGCTTCCATGCCATATGATCATTCTCGATGCGCTTGAAAGCACTCAGGTGCATTTCCTCATACTGTTCATGGGTGCCAAGGACAATATCTGTGCAAACAACATCCACCTTTTGTTTCCAGAGAAGCAAAATATGACACTTGGAGATACGCAGAGAAATGGGAACAGGGGTTACATTTCTTCCTCATCCTCACTCACAGCTCCATCCAGCTGACTGGCGACATGTTCCCTCACATACTGGGCCTTTATTCGCTCCAGTTCTTTCAACTCAGCCTCCAGTTTCAGTCGGTACTCTCCACGACGATTCTGGAGCAGCTTCATAGGGAAAGGATTCATGTCACTGAAGGCAATGTTCATCAGCTTCCTGTAGAAAGGGAAGTATATGAGCCAGACCAAAACAAGAGGGGGAAGGGGACCTGGTATCTATTTTGACAGAAGATTGATTTGGAAGACGCTCATGGCATTCCTGCAGGCTCTCTTGCCCCCCTTCACAAAGCTAAAGCACAATCTCAACAATATAGCATTACAGTAAAAGCAAAATAGAAATAAAAAGTTTCCCCACCCCCTTCACAAAGCTAAGGCACAATCTCAACAATATTGCATTACAGTAAAATCAAAATAGAAATAAAAAGTTTAAAAAGGCAAAAACGTGGTGGCATCTTAAAGATTAACTTTTATATTTTTTTCATGTGAGCTTTCATGGACAAGTCCACTTCATCAGACAATACAGCAGCTTTTCAAAGAAAGAAAATGAAGGCCCAGACCAAAATGTTAGATATGACTTGCAGTACAAATTTCTCTACCTCCATATTTCAAACCATAAGGACACACTCAGGGCCATCTGTATTTCTGGTCAGCTCACTGGGTCTACATACTGTCCTGTGGCTATTGTCCTGGACCAATCTTTGAATTCTTACCCCTTCAGAGAATATTTTCTACAGCACTTTTTTCTGCCAAGGAACCACTGAACACTGCAGAAGAATCACACCAATTTATATGGTCATGTCTATTGGGCAACCACTCCCTGTGGACTATGATTGCAATCTAGAATGCACCAAATTCTCTTGAGGGACTGCGATCCACCCACCAGCACTCTGACTGATAGGGGAGGAGATGGAGACAAGCACCATGGAGGTCAGCAAGCCTGAACAACTTTTCACTGAGGCTCCATTCAACATGTTGCAGTTGCAGAAACACACAAAAGGCCAACACACTACACCAGTTTTTAAATGTTTTATCTCTTCCCCTTCCTCTGATTTTGTACTATGTTTTCCAATGAAAAATTCTGAAGAATTTGAAAACCTTTGCTACCTTTGCATTTCTTTTCTAATTCTAATGATCCTAATAAAATATACTATCTAGCTCTGCTTTATACAGAGAAGTGAATCTATGCATAAGATGACTGTGGAATATCTTCTGTCAAGAAACAAAACAAAAGCAAAAGCAAAACAAACAAATAAAGAAATCAAAAATGTTGTGGCACTTTAAAGACTAACTGCTGTATTTTAATGCAAACTTTCATGGATCAAGTCCATGTCCTCAACCATAGGAGTGAGACTACACAGCAAACATTTACACATGGTCCCAAGATAAAGAGACAATAGTTGTTCAGCACAAGTTGCGACTTGTGTGAATCAATGTGGTATTTCATTCCTAGTAATGATGTAAGGCACCTATTTGTTATTCAGTTCTTTTTCTTTGAAGCTTTGTTCCCTAAAAAGCAACAATGGCTGGTGAGTGAAGGAACCCCAGGCTATGTTCTGATGATCCTTCAAATTTTCAAGATACAGGAAAGATATGTGAAAAACAATATTGGCATTTATGTGTGGGAGAAAGAATGTCCTTCCCACCTGAACAACACCCGACCCTCTGAGTTTCCACAGCACGTGGAAATGACTCTGATGTGGCTCAGTGTCTCAAAAGGACTGTGTTTTAATACTCCCTGAATTTCAGGCTTCTAGTTCGCCAAGACAATAAAGGATTCAATGCCTTTCCAATACGAAGGGAAATAATGGCTTATCAAGAAGATCTTGCAAACCTGTCACAGTTCCATAGAATATATACAAGAATTTTAAAAAGGTGGCACACACAGAAAGGCTGTCAGGTTTAAATTTTCTAGCAAATTTCCAAAAAGAAGCACACTATGGACAATATTAATTTATCTTAAAGCTTACTGTGGAGCTTCTGACTCAGCCAGCATGATCTAGTTCCTTAAATCTCTTCTGCACTTCCACTGTGTATTCAGAAGGGATTTGGTTGAGATTATACCTGACTAGCTCAGTGGTTTTTCCTACTCTCTTCAGTTTAAGCTTAAATTTTGCTATGAGAAGCTGATGATCAGAGCCGCAGTCAGCTCCAGGTCTTGTTTTTGCTGACTGTATAGAGCTTCTCCATCTTTGGCTGTAGAGAATATAATCAATCTGATTTCGATATTGCCCATCTGGTGATGTCCATGTATAGAGTCGCCTCTTGTGTTGTTGGAAAAGAGTGTTTGTGATGACCAGCTTGTTCTCTTGACAAAACTCTATTAGCCTTTGCCCTGCTTGTTGGACGCCTTCCGACCTGAGTGGCTCATCTTCCAGTGTCATCTCTTTTAGTCTGTTTCTGTCCATGGAGTTTTCTTGGCAAAGATACTGGAGTGGCTTGCCAGTTCCTGCTCCAGGTGGATCGCGTTTAGTGAGAACTCTCCACTATGACCTGTCCATCTTGGGTGTCCCTGCATGGCATAATAGCCCATAGCTTCTCTGAATTACTCAAGGCCCTTTGCCACGACAAGGCAGCAATCCATGAAGGGGGGAACCAATTCTGGTGAATGGCTATGTACAGTTTTTTAAGTAACTAATAAATACATATATGAAGTGCTGAGGATCTCCTGTGTTTGCATTTTTAAGTTTTCTGAATGACAAACTGGATTTTCCCTAGACCAGGTTGGGGGAACCTTTTCAAGATGGTCAGCTCATCAATTGTTACAAACTCAGAGGGTACATGGTCTAAAGGGAAAGGGCAAAACTTGGCAGACAATGTTATATGTTATTATAATAAACTTTCTTACTATTAAGAAATACACTTAGCCCACGAAGCCCAATCAGACTTAAGTACTGTAATTATTTTTTACAACTACAATAGGCATCCTTCAGTCTCAAAAGACTATGGTAATGTGCTCTGAATAGAGGACTTGGAACAGCATCTAGTGTGGCTGAGAAGGCCAATTCAAGAGTGACAATACCTTCCCACACTGAAGACAAATACAATCTGTCCCCTGTCCAGCTCCCTGGTTTTGATGGTTTTGGGACTGCCCATTTGCCTCGGCCTGCTGGACAAGGGTTTCTTCAAATTGGGAGAGGCCATGTTGCACCGCCTGCCTCCAGGCTGAATGCTCAGATGTCAGGGTTTCCCATCTGTTGAGGTCCATTCCTAAGGCCTTCAGATCCCACTTGCAGATATCCTTGTATCGCAGCTATGGTCTCCTTCTGGGGCACTTTCCCTGCTAATTCTCCATACAGAAGACCTTTAGGAATCCAATTGTCAGCCATTCTCACGACATGCCCGAGCCAACGTAGACGTTGCTATTTCAGTAATGTATACATGCTAAAAATTCCAGTTTGTTCCAGGACTACACTATTTGGAATTCTCTCCTGCCAGATGATGCCAAAAATGCGTCACTTTCCCTGCTAATTCTCCATACAGAAGACCTTTAGGAATCCAATTGTCAGCCATTCTCACGACATGCCCGAGCCAACGTAGACGTTGCTATTTCAGTAATGTATACATGCTAAAAATTCCAGTTTGTTCCAGGACTACACTATTTGGAATTCTCTCCTGCCAGATGATGCCAAAAATGCGTCAGAGACAATGCATATGGAACATGTTCAACTTCCTCTCCTGCTGTGCACAAAGGGCCCAAGACTCACTGCAGTACAGGAGTGTACTCAGGAGACAGACTATATAGACCTAGATCTTGGTATATGCCATCAGCTTCTTATTAAGCCATACTCTCTTTGGTAGCTGCTTTGCCAATGCATTTATCCAGCTTGACGTCATCACAAGGAATCAATTTAAATTAATTCAATTTAAAATCAAAATTAATTATGGATTGCATCTAATTCATTTTACTACAGATTTAATTAATTGTTTAATTATCTACAGTATTTACTACTCTTTGAGGTAGACCCAGCAGCAGCAGCAAGAACTGACTGCAAGTCTAAAAGAAGTAAGCTAAAAAGTTTCCTATTTAAACAAATAATCATGGTGTTATGTGCTGTTAAATCACATCTAATTTACTCCAAACCCAATCAGGTTTTCAAAGTATGTGAGATATTTAAGGACTGTTTTTCAGGCCCACAAACCCCCAATGATTTTCCATGGCCAAGCTGGAATGTGAACCCAAGTCTCCTGAGTCCTAGTCCCACTATCTGGTATACCTTGCTGGTTCTGTAAACAAAATTCAGGTTCCTTAAGTAGCAATTGAAACTTAAGCCTTTTAAATAACAAAGGTTTAATGTTCTTCAAATGAACAGTTAAGGTTCAATAACAATGTGAAATGCTGAGGAAATGCAGGGGAAGAGTATGGTAATTAAATTTTCTCTTTAAATTGCTTTTTGCCCAAAAGCCCTCTGGTACGTTTTCTTGAGTTAAACACAGGCTTAGCCATTTGCTACAAAAGCACTTTTATTTTGCGGGGGGGATTTGGGGCACTGGAAAGGATGGGGGGACAAAGAAGGGCTTGGGGGCTCACTAGCATGGAGTGAACTTCACACACCCCGGCTCTAGACTAAAAGTGTGGAGCATCAGGACCATAAAATTGAGTTCAGCTGGAGTGAACTTCACACACCCCTGCTCTAGACTAAAAGTGTAGAGCATCAGGACCATAAAATTGAGTTCAGCCTTTCTGGGGGTTCCGTCTCGCTCTCTAGGTCCCCTAGAAGGCCACAGCACTTCCTCATGACACTATAATTTGATTTTTTTCCCAGCTTTTGTAATTTTGTTTCTTCCCCCAGTTTAGGAGGCTGAAGTAACTATTCCAAAAATTAGCTATTATTATCTATAATTGATCTAAGCTAAAAAAAAATATTGTAATTTTGGCCTCACCTTTTGTTTCTCAGCCTTGCCAATCACTACAATGTGACCACTCCCCAAGAATCTCAAGCTAAAAGAGAGACCTATCCATTGCCCATAAATATTCTCCCACAGGACTCTCTGACCACAGGAGCTTCACTGCAAGCTTTGAATTTTTGCTATAATCCTTACCTGCCATCACAGACAGTTTTAGTGAAAAAACGAAAGTACTGGTATATTTCCAAGCTGTCTTGGATCCTCAATATTGCTTCTTCATTGTATTTAAAAATTGCCAGTGCATAACGGAATATCACCTGGGACACAGAAGAAACCTGGGTGAGGATCATATAGTAGGTCACAGTAAGGGTTTTGTCACACTCTTTTAACTTATAAAAATGAGAATACTGAGGCAGGAAGATGTACGTTCACTACACACATCCAGTGGCCTGAAATCTTAGTGTAGACACCTAATAGCCCTAAAACATATCTTCCTTCAGACATACAGTATGTACTAAGGAAAGCAGATGGCTGGGTAGATGGGTAGGTGGGTGGATGGATGAGGTTATCTTACCTTTGTCCCTTCATAGAGGAAGGCATCCCAAACTCGGAAGAGAATGTCACTGACAAGACTATCGACAAACACAACCAGAAACCAATTGAAAGTCACAAGGGCCAGGTCAATTTGGTGCTGCTCCAGGTGAGCTGTCAGTCTGGGAAGCTTCATTGACAAGAAGTCCTTGAAGACTCTTTGATCCACCTGGATTCAGCAAACATCAGTAACAGTAATGAATGACCACATTAGAAAGGCTGCGTATCAACATATTCTATGTCCTCCAAAACAGAAGGATAAATATACAGTGGTGCTTCGCTAGACAATGATATTCCGCTCCCCTGAAATCGCTGTTTAATGAAATCATTGTCTAGCGAAAAGCATTTCCCTATTGGAATGCATTGAAACCTTTTTAATGAGTTCCAATGGGGAAGAATCGTCATTGTCTAGCGAAGATCGGCCACAGGAAAGCTGCTTTGCGAACCGCCGATCAGCTGTTTAAATAGCTGTCTTGTGAAGCTTAGGTTCCGAAAACACCCATTTTGCGAGCACGGAGGGAGCTGTCAAAATCATTGTCTAGCGAAAATCAGTTTGCGAAGCAGGGACCATTGTCCAGTGAAATTCCCCCATAGGAATCATTGTTTTGTGAATTGCTATAGCAATCACAAAAAGTCAATGTCTAGCGAAAAAATTGTCATGCGGGGTAACTGTCTAGCGAGGCACCACTGTATTAATACCTCCTGACGGGGTAGGGGAAACAGGCATTAGAGTCAGGGCATGAAGCAGAATCTCCAAGATAAGTTTTTGACCATTACATTTACTTTTATATTTTTAAAACAATATAAAATATTTTAAAATAAACTGCAATATGGTCAAAACATATAATGTTTAACTTGGACTAGTATAATCTAGTCCCAAGTTAAACATTTTCTGTTCCCACTAATTGCAGCGGATGGGATTTAAATGCACTTGTGTTAATTTATTTACTTCTTATTTTATTTCATTTGCAGTATTTATATGCTGCCCAATAATAGTGTTCTCAGGTCTGCTTATACACAACAAAAGATTACAATAAAGTAATATTGACTGACCAATAAGAACGGTAAACAGATAAAAATTCAGTGCAAGAATTCACCGTAAGAGAGTCTCCAGTACAAAAAATACATAGATCACTGGAAGAATACAAGAGATCTGAATTAAATGAATTCAAATTTCACAATTCAGAAGCTTGGGAGAAGATGACAGAAACAGAATCAGAAACCTGTGGCCTCCCCACTTATCACTTCTCTCCAGAGTGATAAAAAAGTCATTGAACTACAACCCCTATCATCCACAGACTGGCACCGCCAGACTGAGAAGTCCGTTGTAGATAATATCAATGCAATCAACTGTAACCTGTGGCTTTATTATTTCTTCTTTTATTGCTATATTTATTTATTTACATTTTTATCCTGCCCAACTAGTGGCAGGGTCTCTACTCTGCACGGCTAACAAAATGAGATGAAATAATATCACATAATAAAAATACCGATGGGAATACAGATAAGGCATCATACACAATACAGTAACTTTTTAAAAGACACTAAGCTTTAAAAAAATAAAAGGTGGATGGTAGAGAGAGGTTCATAGATACAAAACAGAATCAGACAAAACCTAAAATTAATTGTCCCCTTTTAAAAATTCCTTTCTTTTTTAGATCATGAATCTAGTTCAGCCTTTCTCAATCTTTTTTTGGCCATGGCCATAAACAACCGTATGAAAGAAATATTAGGCAGAATCAGGATTGTATGAGTCACATAACCAACTTTATAAGATACTGGATGAAAAATTATTTCCAATCTGTGGCCCCCTTCAAATGTGCTAGAGTCCCCCCCCAAGGGATCATAGGGCTCCCACAGAATGGCTGGTAGTTGTTAGTAAACTCTCTGTAAAGAGCTTTGGTGTTGGTTCTAGAAACACAGTATGCATTACCTACCTTAACATGGAATTCTTAAAAGAACCAATTTTTCCATGACTATCCTGCGGCTTGTCTCAGCGTGCAGTTCCAGACTTACCTGTGAGCCTATGAGTGTATTGCTGTAGTAATCAGGAGGCATGAGGTTCTCAACAATATGAACTAGGCACCAGAAAGCATTTTCTTCATCTTCTAGGACTAATAGGGCAATGGCTGCTAGTCTAGGATGAAGAAGACATCTATGTAAGTACAAAGCAGACGATCACACCAGTCACTGCTACGACTCTGGCCCTTCACGTTGGCCCCTCATGAAACCACAATGAAAGTGACATTGGAAAATGCTGAAGAGCCAGAAGGTTCTTCTGAAACTTACACTGCCTCCTGAACTGGACCTTCTGGCTATACCAATGGCTTCCTTTCATGCATACTTACAATCTTCTGGATCCCAAACTTTTGCATTTTTACATTAATCTGAAATCTTTGTCAAATACATCCCATTGTTTTATATACACTTCATTAACTAATGAAGTGTTTGTTGCACTCAAAGGAGAACCTAGAAGCTAAGTCTGACTGTTAGTCCCAACTAGTTCAGACCCATCAAAAATATGAAATGGGACCTGCTAGAGCAACATTTATGTAAGCCCTACTGATGTAACGGTTGTGTTAGTACAAAAAAAAATGTAAGAAGTGAATTAGAATCACTGACCTGTTCAGTCCCTGGCAATAGCCAATTGTGGGATTCTGGCGGGAAAATGCAAGTAAAATCCTCCGGAGTTTGGGAAGAAGGTGGGAAGTAGGCAATATAAAGTGCTTGTTGTTGGTCAGAGTGCGGGGTAGATCCAACTCGATCTGTCGGGAAGCTGGGTGATCAGCACCTTCACACTTCTTGAGTAAGTTTTGGTAATGGCCGGGAGAGCGGATGTGCTGCACACGATGGCTCACGATCCACCTCCACACCCTCTGCCGGTGCTCTACCGGGATACCACAGCGCAGTAAGCTTTTGAGCTCTGAGGAAGGAGTAAGTTCTCCGAGGTTATTCCACCGCTCAGTGAGGGGTTTCTCCACTGCCTCCTGGCTCAAGAGATTACTGGATTTGATCTCCAGAGCTTGGATTTTTGCCAGCAGCTTCCAATCCTCAGCTTCATAGTCAGGAACCGTCATAAACCCGTACTCGTCATATTGTCTGAAGAGCGGAAAAAAGCACAACAGGGGAGATGACAGAATATTAAGACTCTCCATTGACTGGAAAAATTTTAGTTAAGTATCTGTTTACTTACTGAGTAATTTTCTTTAAGCGTGCTTTACCAAAACCAAAATATACCGTAGATGCTTTTTCAATATACCAAAGGAGGTGCAAAAGCACACAGTTTAATAAAAATGAAAGTTATCATTAATAATGAGATTCTTTTTCTTTTCTCTACAATATACTAGATATACTAGGACAAAAGTAGGCCAAGAAGATAAACAAACATGATGCTTTTGGCCTACAGCTCCACAAGTTAAAATGATACAGTAACCTGAAAAGGCAAACTTTTACCAACTAAAGCTTTAGCTGATTTGTCTGTTAATCAGAGTTCCCAGACAGTGAGACTACTAGGACTACACTGATGTATCAAGCACTTCAGACCAAGCTCAATCAAATTCAGTACGTATTCTGCTGCCAATGACAGTAGGCCTGATGCAAAGAAAAATGTCCCACAGAGATGTAGTCTCACTCTACCACGTACACGCAGAGACATACAAACACCATTTACTTGATTGGGCTCAGCTGGATAGGTATCATGGCTTCTTCCTTCCCATCCCACTGGAGTGCCTCTTGTATGAGGCCCTTCACCATTTCCATGTGCTCACTGGCTAAGTCTGGTAGGCTCTGCAGTTTCTGCAGAACCATCAGATACTTGCTCTCAATCTGGCAGTTGTGGGCTTGCAGACGGGTGCACTGTCATAGAAAGAGAGAAGACCAACATTCAGAACACACATTTTGCATGAGATTACGTAAATCATATCAGAAGCAGAGCTGTGAGACATCCCTGCTTGGGCTACAGCTCTCAGAATCCTTCCGCTAGCACAGTCACAGCCCATACTGGCCGGGGCATTCTGGGATTCACTTGTCATCAAAATGATAACATTTCAGAGTATGTAGCTACATCTAAACAAGCCAGTGACTATTTGAAATGCCCTTCAGATAGGACGAAAACTGGAAGGGATCACGGCATGCATTCTCCATCTGTTGTTTACCTCTTCAGTACTGTTCCCAACTCTCTGATAATCCTATGAGATCCATACTGTAACCTGTGATAAATCAGTTGAACCACAGGAAGGCTACAAAGGCACACACAATGCGCTATATCGTACATATCTACATAGTACACAAACCCTCCCTGCCTCACAAATCTGGAAATATGTCACATAAGTAAGTTAAGCTGCACTAGATCACAAAAGGACAAGGTGTGCCTCAGTTACGACCTGGCTCCACAAACTACCATTGAATACATTATTAGAATCACTGAAAAAAAAATGACATTCAAAATCAATGGTCTTTAACAAATTATGAACAAAAATGTTAAAAAGTTCAATCCTTACTTTCCCCCACAGGAATTTAGCAAACAACCATTCATTTATGGGTGTTATTGAGTTGGATGTTAAACCTATCCTTTGCCTACTGTTCACCTCAACCATTAATAATCAAAAGTTGCCTCATGCCCGACTTCCTGCCTGGGTCACATGAAAACACTGTTCATATGCTACTTCCGTGCAGGGTGTTTGTGGGCTACAGCAGAAGGCAGCACCTCATTGTTAGCCCCACCACTAGTCCCATTTCCAAATTTCATGCATTGAACACAGAGGTTGCAGAAGGAAATCTTGTACATCTGAAAGTGCTGTTCATGATTAAGGCACTTGATGGCACAGGTGTTCCAATTATATGATGCCCCAATGAATCAGCATCTCCTCATACACAGAGTTTCTTTTACAGACCCCTGCATTCAGCAAAGGAAGTCCAGGGGCAAGGATACCTCAGAAACACAATGTTAGGACAGGACCAGAAAAACAGGACCACTTCTACTGAATGCCTTAGTAACACATACATAGGGCTGAAACCGTGATAGAACATGGGGAGAGTCAGACTGAATACTGAAATGACGTTTGTGGTGGGCGCACAAGAAGAAATCTTCCTTTACATCTGGAAATAGAAAGAGCAGAGTCTGAATACAAATGCTGGCCTTCTATAGCAGCCATTCTCAACATTTATTTGGCCATGGCCATAAACACAGTATAAAATATAGGCCGAATCATGATTGTGTAAGTTGCATAACGAACATTATAAGGTGGTGTGTGAAGAATTCTTTCCAGTCTGTGGCCCTCTTCAATTGTGCCAGGGATCCTCAGAGGGGCATATGGCCCCCATTGAGAACGGCTGGTCTAGAGAGCTTTGCTTTTTACCTTCATCAAGAGGGTCTTCTCTCTGCGTGCCACTGTGCTCCATATTTTAGTAACCTGGTGGATCTCTGAGTTCAGGAATTGGTTTTGAGTCTTGTATGCTTCTAGATCATCCTGACAAACAGAAGAAAAGAAGACATTTAAATTAAACTCTCGGCACAATTAAACTCTGTTAACTTAAAACAATTTGTCACTGAAAGAAAAATAAAGCAGAGAAAAAGGAAAAGTGTCAGGCTCCTAATTATTTGTTTGATATAAATCTTTCCATGGCTGCTCAAAAAGACCAAGGGTGGACTGAAACAGAACACATGACCTTGTCCAATGTATTCATCTGCAGAAGGATACAAATACGACAGCCACATAGATAAGAAGAACAAAGGACGCACAGTGGGGTGCTAAAGCAATAGAAACAAACGAGAATCAGACACTACATTGTAGAGTACTCAACACAGAAATACTGTTTCGAGTAGCTATTTGCTTAGTTTTGGCTTAGTCAAACAGAGTGATGCAGATGGAAGCAAAGACCCTTCTGAGCTTACACAAGAACAGGTTCATGAACACACACAGCTATTTCCCTGGTTGCCAGTACTCATGGCTAAGGAGTGGTGGTTAAAATGTTCTTCAAATGGCAGCTGTGACATCCTTGGAAGTGCAGGGGTTCATTGAGACACTCTCCATAACCACCCCACTGGATGCAGGCCACTTGATCAGTAGTTACCAACAATTTAAGGAGGTCTTTTGTAAGGTCAGGAGCTCTAAATTGCCTGTTCAAGACCAAATCACTGTCAAATATGTTGTATTTTAAAAAAAGATTATTTGCAGCAACATACTTTTCTCTCTCAGCTATTGAGAAGACTGTAGCTAAGCTCAAAGGGAACAGGGAAGCTGGAGGTTGGTGGGGGAGGTATAGATGATGTCATAATCCCTGCTGCTCATAAAGTTTTTATGCTTTGATCCCAAGAACCCTGGCCCCAATACACCACTGAACTGCAGGTGAGGTTAACATGATTTATCCAATGAGATAAATCAGACAAAACTTACATATTCATATTCATGTGTACTACCTTATAAATTCCAGGCAAATTCATTTTCTGCCAGGATTGCTTTATTTTTTGTATGGAAGCACAACCAGTCATGTAACCCTCCATTGGCTGTCTAGAGCAGTGGTTCCCAACCTTAGGTAACCCTTCTTGGACTGCAACTCCCAGAAACCCCGGCCAGGACAGGTGGTGAAGGCTTCGGGGAACTGTAAGAACACCAGGGTTACGCAAGGTTGGGAACCATTGCTCTATAGTGTTTCAGCTTATTCCATGGAAACTAGGCCTAAGAGTTTCCTGCAGGCATCAAAGGATGGAAGCCTTACAAAAAATGTGATGTATTCAACCAAAGGCAGTTACAGCTGAAGTACAGGTTGGAGGGTCAAGGAAACATTTATCAGCTAGTGTGCGCTTATCTGCAAGGGTAAATACATCTTCAACTCAGTGCTGAAAGGAGAATACACCAGAGTTTCTATTTGCTGTCACAAAATAGAGAATGACAAAATAGGACAGGCAGGGCTTTTAATTTTGAGGGTGGTAAAAAGGAAACAGGAATAAAGATTAGAGGATGTTTATTCTTCCTTTTACACCAGTTCTGTGTGCCATGCAGGCTTCCCCCATGATACACTCTCTTCCATTATAGCAAGCTGTAGTTTATGCTACCAAACAAATAAATAAGTTTAAACAATTGAAATTCTGCACTTAAAAAATTAATTCTGCAGCCTGCAAATTCTGCATCCTACAGTGGCTCCCAACCTTGGATCCCCAGATGTTCTTGGACTATAGCTCCCAGAAATCCTGGCCAGCATAGCTAGCGATGAAGGCTTTTGGGAGTTTTTGTCCAAGAACATCTGAGGACCCAAGGTTGGGAACTACTGCCTGAGTGTAAAAGGTACAGTATATCACCGAAGTGAGTACACCCCCTCACATTTCGTAAATATTTTAGTATTATCTTTTCATGGGACAACACTGAAGAAATGACACTTGGCTACATTGTAAACCAGTGAATATACAGCTCGTATAACAGTGTAAATGTGCTGTCCCCTCAAAACAATGCAACACATAGCCATTGATGTCTAAACCACAGGCAACAAAAGTGAGTGCACCCGTAAGTGACAATGTCCAAATTGGGCACAAAGTGTCAATATTTTGTGTG